GTGAAACTGGAAAAATTAGAATATCGTGCAAAAGTTCATTTATTTCAGTAATGCAACTTAAAAGGTGAAACTAATATATGAGATAGACTCATTACATGCAAAGCAAGATAGTTCAAGCCGTGATTTGTCATAATTGTGATGATTATGGCTTACAGCTCATGAAAACCCCAAATCCACAATCTCAGAAAATTAGAATATTACATGCAATCAATAAAACAAGGATTGTACATAGAACAATATCGGACCTCTGAAAAGTATAAGCATGCATATCTGCTCAGTACTTGGTTTAGTCCCCTTTTGCAGCAATTACTGCCTCAATGCGGCATGGCATGGAAACTATCAGCCTGTGGCACTGCTGAGGTGTTATGGAAGACCAGGATGCTTCAATAGTGGCCTTCAGCTCTTCTGCATTGTTCGTTCTCATGTCTCTCATCTTTCTCTTGGCAATGCCCCATAGATTCTCTATGGGGTTCAGGTCAGGCGAGTTTGCTGGCCAATCAAGCACAGTAATTCCACGGTCATTGAACCAGGTTTTGGTGCTTTTGGCAGTGTGGGCAGGTGCCAAGTCCTGCTGAAAAATGAAGCCAGCATCCCCATAAAGCTTGTCTGTGGAAGGAAGCATGAAGTGCTCCAAAATCTCCTGGTAGACGGCTGCATTGACCCTGGACTTAATGAAGCACAGGGGACTAACACCAGCAGATGACATGGCTCCCCAAATCAACACAGAATGTGAAAACTTCACACTGGACTTCAAGCATCTTGCAGTGTGTGTCTCTCCATTCTTCCTCCATACTCTGGGTGCTTGGTTTCCAAATAAGATGCAAAAGTTGCTCTCATCAAAAAAGAGGACTTTGGACCACTGAGCAACAGACCAGGTCTGTTTTTCTTTAGCCCAGGTAAGACGCTTCTGACGTTATTTGTTGTTCAGGAGCGGCTTGACAAGAGGAATACGACATTTGAAGCCCATGTCCAGGATCCGTCTGTGTGTGGTGGCTCTTGATGCACTGACTCCAGCCTCAGTCCACTCCTTGTGAAAGTCTCCAAGACTTTTGAATGGCCTTTTACTGACAATCCTCTCCAGGCAGCAGTCATCCCTGCTGCTTGTGCACCTTTTTCTTCCACACTTTTCCCTTCCACATAACTTTCTATTAATGTGCTTTGATACAGCACAACTGTCAGGTCAGCAGTCTTTCCCATGATTGTGATTCCTACTGAACCAGACTGAGAGACCATTTAAAGGCTCAGGAACCCTTTGCAGGTGTTATGGCTTAATTAGCTGATTAGAGTGGGACACATTGAGCCTAGAATATTGCACCTTTTCACAATATTCTAATTTTCTGAGATTGTGGATTTGGGGTTTTCATGAGCTGTAAGCCATAATCATCACAATTATGACAAATCAGGGCTTGAACTATCTTGCTTTGCATGTAATGAGTCTATCTCATATATTAGTTTCACCTTTTAAGTTGCATTACTGAAATAAATGAACTTTTGCACGATATTCTAATTTTTCCAGTTTCACCTGTAAGTATTCACAGCCTTTGCAATGACACTCAAAATTGAGCTCTGGTGCATCCTGTTCCCACTGATCATCCTTGAGATGTTTCTACAACTTGATTGGAGTCCATCTGTGGGAAATTTAGTTGATTGGACATGATTAGGAAAGGCATAAACCTGTCTATATAAGGTCCCACAGTTGACAGTGCATGTCAGAGCACAAACCAAGCCATGAAGTCCAAGGAATTGTCCATAGACCTCCGAGACAGGATTGTATCAAGGCACAGATCTGGGGAAGGGTACAGAAAAAGTTCTGCAGCATTGAAGGTCCCAATGAACACAGTGGCCTCCATCATCCATAAATGGAAGAAGTTTGGAACCACCTGAAATCTTCTTAGAGCGGGCTGCCCAGCCAAAATGAGTGATCGAGGGAGAAGGGCCTTTAGCCAGGGAGGTAACCAAGCACCCAATTGGCACTCTGAAAGAGCTCCAGCATTTCTCTGTGGAGAGAGGAGAATATTCCAGAAGAACAACCATCTTTGCATCACTCCACCAGTCAGGCCTGTATGGTAGAGTAGCCAAACGCAAGCCACTCCTCAGTAAAAGGCAAAAGGCATCCTGCCTGGAGTTTGCCAAAAGGCACCTGAGGGACTCTCAGACCATGTGAAACAAAACTTTCTGGTCTGATGAAACAAAGATTGAACTCTTTGTCCTGAATGCCAAGCGTCATGTCAGGAGGAAACCAGGCACCACTCACTACCTGGCCAATACCATCCCTACAGTGAAGCATGGTGGTGGCAGCATCATGCTGTGGGGGATGTTTTTCAGTGGCAGGAACTGGGAGACTAGTCAGGATCGAAGGAAATATTAATGTAGCAATGTACAGAGACATCCTTGATGAAAACCTGTTCCAGACCACTCTGGACCTTAGACTGGGGCGACGGTTCATCTTTCAGCAGGACAACGACCCTAAGCACACAGCCCACATAACAAAGGAGTGGCTACGGGCCAACTCTGTGAATGTCTTGGAGTGGCCCAGCCAGAGCCCAGACTTGAACCCAATTGAACGTCTCTGGAGAGATCTGAAAATGGCTATGCACGGATGCTCCCCATTCAACCTGATGGAGCTTGAGAGGTACAGCAAAGAAGAATGGGAGAAATTGCCCAAAAATAGGTGTGCCAAGCTTGTAGCATCATACTCAAAATGACTTGAGGCTGTAATTGGTGCTAAAGGTGCTTCAACAAAGTATTGAGCAAAGGCTGTGAATACTTATGTACATGTGGTTTCTTTTGTTTTTATTTTTAATAAATTGCAAAGATTTCAAAACAAACTTCTTTCACATCTTCATTATGGGGGTATTGTTTGTAGAATGTTGAGGAAACAAATTAATTTAATCCATTTTGGAATAAGACTGTAACATAACAAAATGTGGCAAAAGTTAAGCTCTGTGAATACTTTCTGGATGCACTGTATATTTGGTGCTTGCCCATAAACACGTCAAAGCAAACATCTTTGATATTACATTCCAAAAATATATTGTAACATAATTGTGTATAATATATATGCATATGTATATACTGTATAACCCCCTAGGACACCAGCACTGGACCTTCTAAAATGTCTTCACATAGGAATTTGTTCATCCACATGCACTATGGACAAAAAGTGTAAAATGTGGAATTCGACTATGTGAATATTGTCCACATAAGATACCGTGATGCGAAAAAGTATTTGCCCCTTTCCTGAATTTTTTATTTTCATATTTTGTCACACTTAAATGAGTCAGATCATCAAACAAATTTTATTATTACAGAAATATAACCAGAGTAAACACAAAATGCACTTTTTTAAATTATTTAATTAAGGGGAAGATGTTCAAACCTGCCGTGGCCTATGTGAAAATGTAATTGCCCCCTAAACCTAATAACTGGTTGTGCCACCCTTGGTGGTAACAACTGCAATCAAGCGTTTGTGATAACTGGTAATGAGTCTTTCACATCGCTGCGGAGGAATATTGGCCCACTGTTTGCAGAATTGTTTTAATTCAGCCACATTGGAGGGTTTTCAAGCATGAACGGCCTGTTTAAGGTCATGCCACAGCATCTCAATCGGATTTAAGTCTGGACTTTGACTAGACCACTTCAAAACCTTAAATTTTTCTTTTTGTTTTTTTGAGCCATTCAGAGGTGGACTTGCTAGTGTGTTTCAAATCATTGTCCTGCTGCATAACCCAAGTGCACTTGAGCTTATGAACTGATGGCTGGACATTCTCCTTCAGGATTTTCGTGCAGAGTGCAGAATTCATGATTCCGTCAATTATGGCAAGTTGTCCAGGTCCTAAAGCTGCAAAGCAGCCCTAGACGATCACACTACCACCATGTTTGACTGTTGGCATGATATTCTTTTTATGAAATGCTGTGTTAGTTTTACGCCAGCTGTAACGGGATGCACACCTTCCATTTTCCCAAAAGTCTTGGGGATAATCAAGATGTTTTTTGGCAATGTGAGACAAGCCTTTGTGTTCTTTTTTTGTCAGCAGCAGCTTTCACTTTGGGACTCTCCCATGGATCTCATTTTTGCCCAGTCTCTTTCTTATTGTTGAATCATGAACCATAACCTTAAGTGAAGCAAGTGAGGCCTGGAGTTCTCTAAATGTTGTTCTGAGTTCTTTTATGACTTCCTGGTTGAGACGTCATTGTGATCTTGGAGAATTTGGCAGGCCGGACACTCCTGGGAAGGTTCACCACTGTTGCAAGTTTTCTCCATTTGTGGATAATGGCTCCCACCGTGGTTTGCTGGAGTCCCAAAGCCTTAGAAATGGCTTTGTAACCCTTTCCAACTGATATATGTCAATTACTTTATTTCTCATCTGTTCTTGAATTTCTTTAGATCGCGACATGCTGTGTTGCTTTTGGAGATCTTTTAGCGTGCTTCACTTTGTCAGACATCTTCTATTTAAGTGACCTCTTGATTTAACAGGTCTGGAAGTAATCAGGTGTGGGTGTGGCACAGTGAAATTTAACTTCACTTTCCAAAAAAAGTGGGTAATCACATTTCATTGATTGCAAGGGGGGATTTTTTTCCCTTAACCACTTACCCTCTAGAGGATTTACCCCCCCCTTCCTGTCCAGGCCATTTTTTGCATTTTTTTGTGCTGCGTTACTTTAACTGATAATTGCATGGTCATGCAATGCTGCACCCAAATGAAAATTTTGTCCTTTTTTTCCCACAAATTGAGCTTTCTTTTGGTGGCATTTGATTGACTGTGCAATTGTTATCTTTTGCGCTATGAAAAAAAAACTGACAATTTTGAGAAAAAAAAACAATATTTTTTACTTTTTGCTATTAAACATGTCCAGTAAAAATAAAAAAAATCAAATTTATCCTGCTACATGTCTTTGCTAAAAAAAAAATCCCAATATGTGGAAATTAATTGGTTTTCGTGAAAGCTATTACAAAGCGTTTACAAATGGCGGTATATATATACTGGGTTTTTTTGTTTTTTATTTTTACTAGTAATGGCGGCGATCAGCAACTTATAGGGGGACTGCAGAGGACATTCTGACACTGGGGGGGAACTGACTTGGTGTCACTGACATCCCCAGTGACACCAATACAGTGATCAGTGCTAATAAAAAGCACTGACACTGTACTAATGGCACTGAGCAGGAAGGGGTTAACATGAGGGGCAATCAAAGGGTTAACTGTGTGCTGGGTGTGTTTTACTATGGGGCGGTGTCAGTGTGCTTCACTGTAATCACACTGCTTTGGATAGCTGTGCTATGCACAGCCATCCAAAGCAGTGTTCCCGAGCTGACAGGGAGCAGAACTGTTAGTAAACAAAACAGTTCTCCTCCCATTCAGAGATCCTCGGAAATCACCGGACGCCTTTGAGTAATCACCAGCCGGGACCCGGTGATTGACATCCGCTGCCACAAACAGCGCGTGCCCCTACCCGGAAATGCAAAATCATATATGTGTGATTTTGTGCACCCTGTAGCAGTATTTCTGCTATATTGCGGTCGGGAAGCAGTTAATAAATGAAATAATCATTTTAAAAACTGCATTTTGTATTTACTTGGTTTATCTTTGTGTAATTTCAAAATTTGTTTGATGAGCTGAATCATTTAAGTGTGACAAATATGCAAAAAAAAAAAAAAATCACGAAGGGGGCAAATACCTTATCACAGCACCATATATGTAAACACATGCAGGCATACTGTGTACACACTAAAAAGTGGATGACACCTAATAAAACATTTTTTTAAACATACTATGCTTTATGATAGTGTCTAAAACACCTTAACCTCCTTGGCGGTATTCCCGAGTGTAGCTCGGGGTAACATTTCAGTACCAAGAGCGGTAACCCCGACCTACACTCGGGAATACCATGCGGCACTGCTCCGGCATTTGTTCTTCACTTACCTTACCCTGCGCTCCCACGATGTGTCCCCTGCAGCGTCCCTGGCCATCTCCTTCGGCCGATGCCGGCATCCGGCTTCTGTGTCCTGTCCCTGTGATGTCGGGACGTACGGGCGCAGCCGGCGGCGGGAAATTTTAAAATTTTAAATAATGTCATTTTTTTTTTTTTTTTTACATTTTACATAGTAAAACATTGCTGTCTCAACCAATTTCACATACATTTTGTCCCTAGTGCTTTGTCCTGCGCCCCGCCTGCATTTTGTCTGTTCTTTCTGCCTGGAAACTGAGAAACGTCCATGGCGTCCAAAAAGTGTCCCTTTAGGTCAAAAGCGGTTTAGATCAGCTAGAGAACAGCGATAGTAAATCAGAACCACTTGCAGAATTGAGTGATGATTTGTGGGGAAATTCGTCATCAGACACTGAGAACGATTTTGTGACTTTGCTCAGCAATGTGCGAACTTATTATGGCGCTATATTTCAAATTTCAGTGTTTTTGGTTTGATTATATTATTGAATTAAATGTATTATTATTATATTATTATTTTTTATGATTATTTATTAAATTATAATTTATGATTTTGTGTTTCAAGTTTTATCATACCCGGGATGTTTACTAGACTCTTGTTCGGACAGATTTCAGTGAGTTATTCCTAAAAATTACAGCCTACAATAAAAAAACTACATATTTCCATGCAAAAAAATGTACCGCTTTCAGCACCAAAAATCTGAAATAATCATACCGCCAGGGAGGTTAATGCTTTATAAAAAATTATGTTTCTGTCTGTCACCCTCTAAACATCAAAAATCATGAACCCTAAATCTCAATAGACCACTTTGATGGGGTGCACTGTAGAAAATATGAGATTAGGTCTGTTATTGTTATAGTATAATTATCCACCTCTTCTTTTTCATCAATCTACCCCCTCAGGGGTCGCTGAGTAAATTTTGGGTTCCCTGTCTTGCCTGACCCCTGAAAAGCCCAACCCCTGCTGACATCACCTTAAACCTCCAGTCAGAGCAACCACAGATTAGACTCGCAGACAATTTAGAGTGAACTGACATCTTGGTTGTATTCAGATGAAATGTAATCACTGTAAAACAACAGAAACATTTGATCATGAAATAATAGCTATCAGTTGGAGTTGTTTCAAGGAAAGGTCAAACACAGCAAAATTTCAATCAGTCATGGATGTCCTGCAATTCATAATTTAGCCAGTAACCCCAGTCCTGAGATGTCTGGCCCCAGTGAGCAAGAAAAAAAACTACTAAGCAGAACGGCTAGCTCACTTTCGGCTCTCAGAAGCAGGTGACAGGGTTCAGTTCTGAGGCTAAGATTAACTCTTGAATTTAATAGGTCATTGTCCCTTTAAACTGCAGTATAAGATCCTCTGCACGCTCGATGGGGCCCTAGTAAGTGCACTTTAGGAATTCAAATCCCTCTGGAAGCAAAGGTAGACGTTCCTTAATAAGGTGTGAATACATAGGATAGGAGCTGCCCCTTTATGTGATGGGTAGCCTTGACAGTACCCTATTTAATACACACAGGGTGAGATGTAAATTTAGTCAGGGATTAAAGAATGAGCAGAAGGCCTTTCTGTAGAAAATAATTCCTCTTGCGACCCCAGTGGCGAACTGCAGCAATGCAGGAGCTCTTTGGTGAATGTGGGCCAACTGCAATGGAAGCAATGATGTGGCTTATCCTGCAGAGGGCAAGACACAGCAGGGGGCTCTTGTGTTTGGATTATACCGAAACTGTAGTAATCGATAGGCCAGGTGAACTAGGCCTTAATGTGTAAGTTGTGAACATGTCAGTTAAACTTTGCAGAAATCAGCAGACTTGAATAATGTCATTGCCATATTGAATGGCTTGAGAATGGAACTTTCTCACCTGATCTGTGGCACTGGTCAGGTAGCTGATGGTCTCTCTGTAGAGGGGTGCCCCCAGTGTTCCTGTGGTTCCTCCTTCAGATATACCTCCAGACAGCAGCACTCTGGGCCATCGGCCTTCAGGACAGCTCACTAGACTTGTCGCGGTATCAGAAGTCAGCAGCTTTCTTTTCTCTCTTTCTCTGTGGCCTAACCTGGCCTAGTCCTCCAGTGTCCTGCATGGCCTTCTCCTCCACACCTACTCTTCAGCTCTCACCCCTCACTTCCTGCCCCGGGTTCCCAGGCTTCTGTAATTATCTGCCTCTACCCACATGCCAGCTCCTCTGGGTAACATAGTTTGTTAGCCCGCTGTCAAACAGCAAAATCCTGTAGTCAACCTACAAATCCCACAAAGCTTTGCAACATGGTCTGCACAATTGGACTGCAGGATGCTGCCATCTTGTGTCCATTTACCATCCTGCAAGTGGTATCATGTCAGGGTGTTACATATGTAAAGCCACCTAAATTCCTATATAACCATGATCTTTGAACTTTTGAATACCTATTTTATATAGCTGACAATGTGTAGCTGTTATAGCTTTATCTGATGCAACACTTTACCTTGCAACACCTTATTTCTGTTTATCTATTTACCTTGTATTTTGATATTTCACAGAATTTTTTTTTAAGCCCAATAAAGAAAGTATTAATACCAGCCATTTGGGTACCAGATGGAAATACATCACTCTGCACCACAGCGCTTGGTGGTAGCAGCACCTCAATAAAACAAGTTAGCAGAAAAAGGCCCCTACTCATCCTGCTCCCATGGCCAGATCTAGTGGGATGCTGCAGTGGGCTATGCCCCCAAATTTTCAGCTGCACTCCCTTATGCAACCCATGGACTTTGTCCAACAAGAGAAGCTGTCTGCAGCAGCTCACACAGCCCAGCCAGCACACTCCCCCTCCGCTTCCCTGCACTGAAGGGTGAGGAGAGAGTGGATCAATGTGCACTGCCTCCTCCCACCCCTCTCCTCTTATCTGACCCACCCACACTCCAATTCCTGGACAGTGCTGTGCCTAAGAAGATGTGTGGGCAGGAAATTTTAAGCACTGCAGCCAACTACATGGTGCCTGCAGGATTGACTCCTCTGTCTGAGCCTGCAGAGACTAGCCTGGGTGTGTGAGCTGAGCTCTGCACTACAACTGAGCTCTCTCCATCTCCATCCCTTCTCCCCCCCTCTCTATCTCCCCACCATTGCCCCCCCTCTATCTCCCCACCTTCCCCCCTCTATCTCCCCACCTTGCCCCCCCTATCTCCCCACCTTGCCCCCCCTCTATCTTAGTCTGTGATGCTTCTGTTTAATCCCTTCTTGCCCAACCTCCGCATCCCTTTATAGGATTGTTCACATGAACTTTGGTCTCATAAGAGAAAGCTGCATTCAGATTACTCTTCAGAGAGCAGTTGGCAGGCAGTGAGGAGATGTATAACCATAAGACAACACTCCTCACCACCTGCTTTAAACCCCTAGAACCCCACACTAGCACACTGCAACCACGTACATTGCACGCAATTGTAGGTACTTGCAGAGCAGCCTCATTCATTTGAATAGGTCAGATTCAGCAGGCACTGTGCCCACAGAAAGCAACAGAGGTTAGAATTTCTTCCACAGCCACAAAACATCACAGTGGCAGTATGTGTACACCCCAACCCTGTGTTGCCAACCATCCATAAATTTACAGACAGTTTGTATAAAAGAGGCACATTTCTCCTATCCGCAAATGTTCATGGACAGGAGAAAGTGCCCATAAAAATCCCTTTGTCGTAGGCTCTGACTGCCAGATTCTGATGTAAGGAGGCACTCTGCAGGACTCTGATGTAAGGGGGCACTCTGCCAAACTCTGATATGAGGGCACACTGCCAAACTCTGAAGTAAGGGGGCACTCTGCTGGTTTCTGATGTAAGGAGGCACTCTGCTGGACTCTGATGTAAGGGGGACTCTGCAGACTGTAATGTAAGGTGGTTTCACTCTGGGGACACTGATGTAAGGTAAGACTCTGATGTGAATGTGGCTCTCATCCTGACTGCTACACTCCATATGTTTTGTTTTTTTACTTATTCTGACCCCTGTACTCTGTACATTATGCATGGATTTATATCGACCTGACCAAGGTGTTCATTTTCTCAACAGTTGCTGGTTTTAATGGAGTACTTCTTTCAGATAGACTCAGTAAGGTGGCACAGACATTAGTCATTTTTTTTCAATTCAACAAAAAAATAATTACTCAAGTCTCTCATCCACAAATTCAATGTGGATGGGGAATCACTCCTGCTGAGGTAATGTGTTCTGAAAGTGAAGAGACTTCAATGCCACCAGAATAGACTGATCAGTGCTGCCAGCTATAGCTAGTGCTAATTGCACCGAAATTTTCCTAGAGGCTGATTGCACAGAAGTCGATTGGTATATTGACTTCTATACAACCAGCCTGCCAATACATGGATCAAAATTCATCTGCTTCAGTAGGGACCTGTTGAATTTTGATCCAAGTATGGCCGCCTAGGGCAAAAATATCCTTTTTTGTGTGCATAAAACATATGAAATGGAAACAATTCATTAAATAAAATGTTCCTTTGTCCTGAGGTTTACTTGTGTCTTTGAGACTGTCGGCTGTGGCACAGTATTTAGT